CAAGTCACAATCTAAATAAACCCATCAGTATAGACAACAAATGGTTGTCCAAGTCACAATCTAAATAAACCCATCAGTAGACAACAAATGGTTGTCCACAAGTCACAATCTAAATAAACCCATCAGTAGACAACAAATGGTTGTCAAAGTCACAATCCTTCAATAGCCTGATACAATGATAAATTTTACCTGTAAGAGAGGATAAAACCTTAACCTTCAAAGATTTCATGAACGTTGTTTCCTTTTGTTCAATCCATTGATCTTGTTAATTCATTAGTAAATAACTTCTAATGAAATGGAAGATGGCAAAGCATTGCAAGCAATCTACAGTACCCTACTAATGGACAAATTTTGATATAAAAATAAACAAAGGGCAACAACTCTGCATTTAGTGGACAAACCTTAATAAAAAATAAACAAAAGTCCAGAACTCTCCATATATATTTGGGCACAAGATTTGATTTCACTACGGAACATTTCAATGCTGAAAGGGTACTCATATACAAACACTGGAAATTGTAGGTCTTACAGTATATGGGAATTGTAGGTCTCAAAGTATATGGGAATTGTAGGTCTCAAAGTATATGGGAATTGTAGGTCTCAAAGTATATGGGAATTGAAGGTCTCAAAGTATATGGGAATTGTAGGTCTCGAAGTATATGGGAATTGTAGGTCTCAAAGTATATGGGAATTGTAGGTCTCGAAGTATATTGGAATTGTGGGTCTCAAAGTATATGGGAATTGTAGGTCTCAAAGTATATGGGAATTGCCTTGGACAATGCACCGCATGGATATAGACAGATTGACTGAATGACTGACCGTTTTTAAACGTCAAGTTGTAGTGACACTGATAACCTTTACTGATGAAAACTCAACAAAACCAGTCAAATGATCAAACAATCAGACACAGACTTAACATGGATACAAGATAATGTAATTTTGAATAAACAGATACAAACATTTTTACCATTGCATGCTAACCAGGCTTGGAGAGTGACTTGAGGTCTCGTGAAGAGATTACATGGTGCAGATTTTGTCAGGCGAGCTATTAAACAACACCCCAATAGTAACTGGATGTGCAATGATATCAAGGAAACTAAATAAAACTAGCTAAATTATCCATTAGGCTAAGGAACACTATTGCAACAGAAACAGCTCTCCGGCAAAATATGTTCACCAAGAGGTCGTAAAAAGCTCGTTTGGACCAACTTTTACAACCATGGCGACCCAGTTTTAGACCTAAAGCCCTGGAGATCGGCTCCCATAGTAACACAGAGGATCTGCATCACATAAATGTTTACATCCCTCTAGGATTTGTTTTGTTTTGTGTGAAGCACAAGTCTATTACTTATTGTCTATAACATATACCTTTTTATACAAATGTTTATTTTCAAAGTAAAAAGTTATGGAACTTTTTGTTGAAGGTACAAGTTGAATTTTTTGTGTAATGAAAAACAGCTGATTCTGTTAGAAGCTTTACTGCAGGGTTATTGTAGTGTAATACCTCTGGAACAATGTATATAGCTTCTGTTTCAATGAAACCTGGCTCTCATAAAAAAAGAGTGTCTAAACCAAAGTGTTAAATAAATTCTTATGTGTAAGGAAGAAAGTTTAAATATTTGAATATTTTTATTCCGTATCAATGAAAAGCTTTGACTGTTATTTTAGCCCCAGTGCTGCTGCAAACGCTGTGAAGTTGTAACAGATTTTTTGGTTTTTATGACCCCTTACACTAACTTAGCATTTACTGAAAAATATACAGATCTGGGGTCTCAGTGGAAGCATGCTTAGCTTACTCAATAGCCACTTGTTTGTCTTTCCTCAATATTTCTTTCATCACTTGAGTTTCAGGAACAAAGGTGTCTGCCAGGGAGATCCACAATGTTTCAATAAGGGCACAGACCATAAGTTTTCATTAGAATTTCAAAAACGAACCAAAGAAATTTGAAAAGTTGATCAAGCTTTAAACAGACTAGACTTTGTGCGTACATGTCATGGTCTTTAGCCGTGGTTCTTTCCGCTTACTTCCATTTGTAGATGAAATAACATGATCAATTGGTCAGAGATTATCAAATAACTTGACAAAATATTAGCAAACTACAATTCATAGCAATCAGTGTAAGATGAACAGAAGATATCATTCTTGTTTTCTAATGATATCAGAATGATATTGACATCCAATTTTTTCCCAGTCAACATTATCAAGCTACATAGGCTTCAAGCATTTTCAAAAGCTAGATGAACACCTCGGTCTGTTTACCTTGGGAGGGTGGTGGGTACAGAATCCCTAGCTTCACCAGATGGTACAAAACATAGATCTATTCCATATGGCCTCCAAAGAAATAAATTGGTCAAAAACTTTCAAACAGTTCTAAAAATATCTATAACATGATACATATGATGCATTGATGTTGGGAGGACTAAATATCACAGCTAGAACATGTTGAGAAAAAATGCTCCAAAGTTTCTCTTAATGAAGAATCTGCCGCTATTTATATTTTTCAATGGTTTGTTACTAAATGCATATAATTGATTAAAAGCTCCCAAATGCTACTTACAGGAATTCTGAATCTTTGGAACTCATTTTACTTCAATGCTGACCTGAAAATAAGCTTGAAAAGCAGTAAAACTGTTACACACAGTATCGAGTGGAGGATAATACTCACTAATCTGATCACAGACTTCTAATGATTCTGTCATCAAAGGGAGGTAATCTGGGAATGAAAGGGAGATAACCCATGTTATAAGAAACTTGTTAGTAATGATAAGACCAGAATGGCAGGGAAACATTTCTGATGGTTTTGACCCACAGCCAAATGAAATACAGAAAGCACTTATCACCAATTTAAACTTGGTAATGAATCAACCAATCAGGAGACAGTATCACCTATTTACACCTAATAATCAACAAATCAAAGGAGAGTATCAGCTCTTATCTAGTAATAATGAGCCCAGAAGTGAAGGTAAGACATTATCTGTTTGACCCATCCTTTTGTCCATTAGGACCATTACACTGACCACAGCAATAAAATAGAGATAGCTAGAGGTCGTTGAGGTTGCTATGTCAGCAAAATGTCAACAAAATCGGGATAAATCAACCTAGTGTTGACATGTATTGACAGATAAATGATTTCAGATACCAGAACAGAACAATTCTCAACATTAATTGGATTTGATAGAGAAAATGTTGTCTTGGTTAGAAAAAACGCTAAAAAGAAACATGAAAGCCTTGTTATAGTGCCATCATTGTCTAACTGTACAGGGGTAAGCAGTGTATCGAGGGACATATAAA